ATCTGACTGGATGTTTTATATTTCAAAAAAGCACCTAGTGGCAAATCTAGTGACTGTTTTCTATGTTGATGGAGACTTTGGTGACATAAAGCAACAAACTCTGTCCTCCTGATTATCAGCCTCCCTCATCATGCAGGGCGGGCTGCCTGCGCTGCAGCAGATAGTAACTCTTTCCGCTTTGAATCCAGATTGCAAATAAAATGTTTGAAGCTGCTGCTAATCCTGTCCTAGGTTGCAAAATCGAAAAAATTAAATAGATTTTTATCTAACAGTGTCTTTAGGGATTCAGGGTCTCCTGCAGCTGTAGGCTGATTTTAATCCAGGCCTCCTTCCACTAAGCTGAATGATTCTAAGCTCCTTGTTCAGCTACTCTTTCAAAGCCATTTAAATGATAACAAGGAAAATATAAGTAATAGAAATCAGAAGAAAAACCTGTTTTAGAAAATGTTCTTAGTTTATTCCCATGTGTCAGAGCTGCGCTTTGGACACGTCACTTGATTAGAATCAGGAATGAAAGCAGGAGATCAGTTACCTGTTGAAGAGCAGGATCATTTGGGATCAGGTAGACACGGAGTTTGAGGAACGGCTGGAGGGGCTGATAATAAATCAACAATTTGGTGTTAACTTTAGATCCAAATATGGAATATATCAGAGCTGCCACAGTAGAGAAAACTGGATCCATTAGCCCGACATGCGTTGCTGTGACAGTAGATACTTTCTCCAAAACATCTCCGCAGTCATTCATGTGCAGGACAGAAAAGTTCTCTGACAAGTTGGGAATTTCATCTGCAGAGAGCACAGAATATTAGCGGTAATGAGAAACACTGCTTCAGATTATGAACAAACCGTTTATGAATGTTTTCCTACCGATACAGATCCAGTGAGGCAGGAAAACCTCATTTATCTTTCCAGAAATGACGGTGATGTTGAGTAAAGGACCTGCAGGTGTGAATCCTCTGGTTTTCATCCTCTCCATGTTTCCCTGCCAGGAGCAGAACTGGAACTTAAAGTCCACTTTGTCCTTGCAGACCCATCGCAGAGCAGAAACGCTGCATTCAAACTGTCCCGCCGCAGATGAGAAGCTAAAGGATCGAAGCCAAATTATTATGTTGCATCAAATATGAAGCAATGATTGATTTTCTGAGGCTGCTGTATCACAGAAGAAAACTGATCTTAAGCTCAAAATGTTTCCTTCCATGTAAGCTGACATCCTGGTCCTAAACAAGTGGAGGAGAAATGATGACCTGGAACATCCAGTCTGGTCCTGACTTTGACTGGGACACTTTAAAATGCTCCCGTTTGTGTAAAGTTCAGAGATTAATGGGATAAAAC